GGAATGCCTGATGGTCCTAGGTTTTTAACTTAGGCATATGGGTGGAAGGCGATATTGTGCACTTGGACTCATCAGCCTGGGACAGTAGCAGGCTTGGCAGGGAGCGGGCTGGGGGGTTGAGAGTTCTACTCTGAGATGTCTAATGAGCTTTCAAGTGGTGATGCCGGAAGGCGAAGAGTCCCATGAGTCTGAAGTTCAGAGAAGAGGTCCAAAATGGAGATACAAATTGGAGAGTCATCAGTATATAGGTGCTATTTCTTTCTTTTTATTCCATTCTTTCACTATGGTTTGGAAAGGTATATACTCTGGGTCTTTTCCTTTTGCTAACCCTAGAAATGTTATACATTTTTATTAAGGACATTTTAAAATATGCTTACAGTAGAAATACTATCATAAAACCCCATGTTCTCATCACCCCCCATCACCAGTTGCTTTGTCAGGGACAAAAACAAAGGAAGGAAAGAGCCTGGAACTGAGCAACAGGAACTCCTTTTAGAAATAAGTCATCAAAGACCACCAAGAAGGAGTGGCCAGGACAACATCCAGGAGAGGGGGGTGTCATTGAAGCCAAGAAGGAAGGAAGGAAGGATCAGCTATGTCAAACACAGCTGAGAGGCTGAGAATGGTGAAGATAGAGCTTCTGACCTTTGGCTTTGGCAAGATGGAGGTCACTAGAGAAGTTGGCAAGAGCATCTCAGTGGAGCATGGAAACCAAGCTTGCGTCGAGAGTGGGGAGGAGAGCAGACAAGGAGATATCCCCTTAGAAAGTTCGAGCTGTGGGAAGGAGGACAGCTGGTAGATGCTCCAGCCCGAAAACAACGGAAGGATGGGGACTAAGGCTCAGTTCCACCTCTCCCAGGTGGAGTCAGTGGAGTCATTGGAAATGCTGAGGACCTTGTTGCTTTCTTCCAAGATGGAGGTGTGAGATTCTGGGAGGAGCTTAGAGAAGATGGAGATAACAATGGGCAAGGCAAACGGTGACAGAGATCCAAAGAGAGTGTGGCTTGCTGGACACCCATGAAGGGTAGATGATTCAATGGGGAGAGTGAAAAAGTACCTGGAATCACCTTCTCGCTTCATGTACGTGAATGTCTAAAAGTTTTCAGTCTGGTAACATGGACTATTACCTGCACACCCACCCAGCGCTTATGGCCCTGATTCAGAGGCATCTGTATATATCCTGAGGACATACACATTCAGTCACATATGTGCACATGAGAAGTCAGAAGCAGAATCTGCATTTCACCTACATTCCTTGAGTATTTCTCCCTGCACTCTTGTCCTCTCCATTTTCCCTGCCAGAACGCCTCCTCGGGGACTGTAAATTCCTTGCTACCTGGGCCAGGGTAACATAAAAGAGTAATGTAGGCCGTGTGATGTTAAATGGTAACAGAGGCTTGTCTTCTGTGCCAGGGAGACACAGAATGGTGTGGACTGAGTGAACTGGAGCATCTGTTGCCTACCACCCATCTCCATTTGTTGCCATGTTAGTTTCCTGTTACTGCTGTAACAAATTGCTACAAACTTAACAGCTTAAAACAATACAAATTTATTCTCTTACAGTTTGAGACCAGATGTCCCAAATGGTCTTATGGGGCTACACTCAAAGTGTTGGCAGGGTTGTCTTCTTCTGAAGATTCTAGAGGAGAATCTATTCCTCACTTTTCCCCCCTTCTAGAAGCTGTCCACATTCCTTGACTCATGGCTCCCTTCCATATTGAAAGCCAACAATTGCATCACTTCGACCTTTGCTTCTGACCTCCCCTTCCCTGACTCTGACCTTCCTGCCCCCCTTGTCCACATATAAGAATGCTTGTGATTGCATTGAGCCCACCCAGAAACTCTAGTATTATTTCCACATCTAAAGGCCCTTTTTTAAAACAAGATTTTTAAAATTTATTTTTAGAGAGGGGGAAGGAAGGGAGAAAGAGAGGGAGAGAAACATCAATACGCCAGAAACACATCAAATGGTTGCCTCTCGCATGTCCCCAACTGGGGACCTGGCCCACAACCCAGGCATGTGCTCTGACCAGGAATGGAACCAGCGGCCTGTTCACGGGCTGGCGCTCAATCCCCTGGGCCGCACCAGCCAGCGCTCACAATCTCCACTTCAATCACACCTGCAAAGCCTTTGCCATGTAAGGCAACATAGTCACAGATTCTGGGGGTTAGGATGTGCGTCTCTTTAGAGGGCTGTTATTCTGCCTGCCGCTGTTGCTAAGTGGGAATGCAGGCCTAGTAGGGCCAGACATTCCAGTTCTTTTCCTTAAAAGCTAGAAATGTGCATTTTCATATGACTGCTGAAAAGGGTCAACGAAGCAGGCCTGGGATTGGTACCCTGAGAAAGACCTGCTTACAAGGCTGGCCCCTGGTTGGCATTTGGGACGTGGCTCTCGATATGTTCCCCATCAGCAGCTAGCTGGCCATGATGGCTCGTCGCACCTAGATTGTTAATGTAAATAATATAGTTTGTGCTGAACTCCTGTTTTTCTTCTAGGAGGCTGGAATTTTAGTATGTGCTAGGCAGAGATGTCTACGTGACCAGCATTCAATAAAAACTTTGAGTTCAGAGTCTCTAATGGGCTTCCTTGGGCAGAAACACTGCAGGGAAATGTTGCTCCATTTTCATTCTGGAGGAAGAAGACACTTTCCAAACCCTTTTGGGAAGGAGAGAGCACAGATTCCTCCAGATTCCCCATGTGTCTTTTCCCCTTACAAGCCGGCTGTGTATCCTTCCTACATTGTTGTGATAAACCTTAGTTGTGAGTACAATGTTATGCTGAGTCCTCTGAGTCCTTCCAGCTAATCTCCTAACATAAGGGGTGGTCTTGGAAATGCTCCAACACAAAGACAGTTCCTGATTTTTTTTTTCATATTCTAACTGTTACAGGGGTTAACACTGCGAGGGCCAAACAAAAAACAAAAAACAAAAACAAAAAAAACAAAAAAAAAAAAACATTTCTGAGAGGGAATTTGGCCCCCAGGCTGCCAACTTGTAACCTCTGGCTTCCTAGGCTTCTACCCTAATTTTAGTTACATCTCTAGAGTAAAACAATTAATCTGACATACACTCAGAAAATGCCAGCCATGTGCTTAGTTAGCACCATGCTAGAAACTAGGGACTCAAAGATGGATAAGACAGAGTCCTTACCTTCATCAATTTTTTATTTAGTAAGATGGACATGTACATAACTAAATGCAGCGTGACGGGCTACATGCACTAACATGAACAAGTAAAATGCTCTAAGAATCCGGATAGCTAAGAATCCAGTGCTCTGCTATGTCTGTACACATTCCTAAACTCATTTGGTCCTCACAATCTGAAGTTACCCCAGTTTTACAGATGAAGAACCTGAATCTGAAAGTCAAAGAGGTTTGGGGTTTTGCCTAAGCTAAAATCTTGTTCGATATTCATTTTGCTGGCGTGAGGGTGCCCAAAGCGAAAAGAGAGCCAGGGAAGGCCTGCAAGAGGACATGTGTTCTGTAATCACCAAGGGTTCTTGCTCTGTGGACACCATGACCCCATTTCCCAAAGCAGCCTCACTCTATGCCCTTGTCAGTTTTCTTTTTTTATGAATGAGTTTTGTTCTCTCAAGCAGATGGCAAGTCCACTGGGAAGAGAGACCTTGTCATATTTCACTGTATTCCTTTCCATGCCTTGCCTAAGTAAGGTGTCGATTAGCTATTTTGTTGATAGAAAGTTGCCATGCTAGTTATTTTATCCTACTGTGTTGTGTTGTCAGATAGCCCTGGCCCTGGGAAACACTGTGGTAGGAGAGGCAAGTGAATCCTTTCCAACTGACTAGCCTGGGAGACAGGTTTCTTAAGGGTGTGTCAGTGGGCCCATGGGGCACTTCCTGATGAATTTCCCCAGCGAAGGGAGAGAGCTAGAAAACGTAAGGGACTTAAAACAGAAGCAGATTGAAAAGCTGATTCTTGTAAGAAATGGAAGTGAAACGTAGAAAGACGGAATGGCTTCCACCTAAGGCCTCCAGCTGTGTGCTGAAGGTGTTGAGATGCAGGTGGTAGATCCGGCCCACGGCCAAGGGACAGAAGAGCATGTGAAAGTCAAAGTCGGCCAAGATATCAGAATCTTCACTTCCGTTTTCCTTCTTCAGCCTCAACAAACATTCTGGTACCTCACAACAATGCGTTCCGGTGGGAATCGACTTCTTTTCACCAATGAAAAAACCAAGGACTAAGTGACGTTAAGTCACTTGCCCAAGGTCACATAGGGCTATCAGGATGCGAATCCAGGTCCTAAGGACTTCAGCTCAGAGCTCCGGCTGTTCCGGCGGCAGGAAAGCGGGCAGGTGGTAGTGGCAAGAGCTCGCTAATAGTGACGGCGCTGATGACGAGGCCGCTATCCGTCGAGCCGCGGCCGAACCGCGGCAGATTCTCCGGGTCGGCCCTCGCAGACAGGCTGCGGGGCTCGGCTCGGCGGGGCATTCTAAGGGATCGGCACGCTGGGGCTCAGGCTGTGCAGCTCCCGGTCCTCGGCCGCCCACAGGCGTTGGCGAAGGTCAGCCGTCCCGGCTGGGGACCGGCAGGCGGCGTGCAGCCGCAAGGGGTTCCTCGAGGACCGGCCAGAGCCAGACATCCTGTCGGAGCCTCCAGGGAGGCGGGGCGGGGAGGGCACCGCCGAAGGCCTGCTGCAGCCACCTCGAAAGAACAGCCTCCAGGGCATCCGACCTAAGTCAGAACACCTGAGCGACCGGCGTCCCCATGACGCTGGTGCAGGCGAGGCGCGCTCTGGCACCGCGCCCTGCGTACCTGCAGCGGAGCTGGAGAGCCCGGAGTATCGGTTCGAAACCGAGAACGAGGGTTTAAACCCTGGTTTGCTACTCTTAACGCACGTTCGACAGGTGAGGGACTTGGTGGGGGAGGGGACCCGTTCTGGCCACACCTCTCAGAGACGCCTACCCCCCTGGGGGCGTGGCCTCCGGGCCGCTCAGCCTCTAGTGGACGAGCGGAGCGCGCGGCCCCGCCCCCGCATATAAGAGCGGTGCGGCAGTGCAGCTAGCGCACTTCTCACTGAGACCCGTCACCCGGACTCTACGTGAGACCCACCGCCCGGACTCACCATGGTGAGTGCGGCCCCACCGTGATCTTGCCGGTCCCCTCATTGCCCCTCTCCTCCAGGGACGCTCCCTCCCGAGATGCTCGGGGACCTCCCTCTGGCGTTCCGGGTCTCGAGGAGGTGCGAGGGTGTTTGCATTACCCCCACCCCCGCCCCCACCTCGTCCTACTGACTTTGGCCGAACTGCGTTGTCCACTTTCGAAGGCTGGGGAAGGGGGTTGGGTGCAGTGGGATTCTTCACTAGCAAAGAGGAGCCCTCCTGGAAATCCCCTCCTGCTCCCCCAAGCGTTTCTGCCCTAATCCGCCTGAGGGGCGACACGCAGTCCTGCGCCCAGTTTCCGCGGGAGAGGGAGACCCGCTTGGCTGCCCTCGCCGCCAGCCTACCCCACACCCAGTCCCTGGAACTGACCGAACACATGCTTGGCACAAGAAGGTGGAAGGGGGTCAGGTTACTTGGTCCAACATCCCCTTTTCCTCCGACTGCGTGTGCATCCCTCCTACCCACAGTCTCCCTACACCGTGACTCAGCACCCCGCTTCTGAGCCAGGAATGGGGTTCGGTCTCGTGAGGCGGGCCGGCCCCCTCTCCAGCTTGAGCCCGGTTGCGCGGACGGGCAGAGACAGCTGTCGCTGAGCGGGAGCTCGGGCCGAGGCCAGGTTGGGGGGAGGGGAAAGAGGTGTGTGTAGGGGGTGGTATTTATAGCCCAGGAACGGGGGCCGAAATCCAATCCCCGCTTTCCGCTGGGATGTAATGGGAAAGAATCTAGAAGAGGGGCAAATACAGGGCCAGGGTGCAGGATGGCACTCATCCTGCCCGGGGCAAGGCGGGTTACCTTGGGGGCCTCACCGCAGGTTCCGCTTCCTTTTCTGAGTATTTGGAAGCCGTCACCCCGCCATTTCGGTGCTGATCAGGGAAGGTGCCGCACCACTTTGGCGCTTCAGGGGTTACTTTCAGACTGGCATAGACTGGCCTAGGGGAGCGACTGCCCCAGTGCCCACAACCCTCATTGCCCGCACGTGCCCTCTGCGCGCACCAGCATTATCGCTATTTTCCGGAGGGGGTGGGAGTGGAGGTGGAAAGAGGAGCCAGATGGGATGGATCTCCAGAGCCGGATGGGATTTAAAGGTGGGGGACAGGGCATCCTGATGGCCCTGTGGTCAGTTGATGCCAGACTGGAAGGCTGAGATACATATGTAGCCCACAGAAAAGAAAATAGGAGAGGGTTATGTGAAATTCGAGTGGTTCATCCTCAAAGCAAAGAGTTAATCAAGTCGGGGACTCTAGCTCTAAACTCATACGTCTGGAAAACCTGTCTTTTCTCCAGCTCTGGAGAAGCTGGTGTTGTGGGAGTAGAAATTGGGAACAGCTGAAAAGTCTCCTGTCCTTGTCTCGGTTACTGCAGTCTCTGCTGGTCTCATACGCGCTTGCCCTCTCCATCCTCCCTGAGGCTCTCATGAATGTGGCAGGGTCATGTGGAGCCACAGCTCTAACTTGACAAGGTCCCCATGGAGAAGCAGGCTAAGGGGCTGGCCTGCCCTACTGGGTGCCTCCAGTTGGGGAGTCCTATGCTGGGGAGAAGGGGCAGGCTGCCAGTGTTTTCTGACCTCTGTCCAGCCCCAAGCGTCCACTTTTGCCAACTGAGTCATTCTAGCTGGTAGGTGATAAGGTGGGAGAGGTTTATGAAGCGAGGACTGACAGATGTGGGGCTTATGCTCTCTCCCCTCTCTTTATCCCTCAGCGTGAATGCATCTCAGTCCATGTGGGACAGGCAGGTGTCCAGATGGGCAATGCCTGCTGGGAGCTCTACTGTCTGGAACATGGGATTCAGCCTGATGGGCAGATGCCCAGTGACAAGACCATTGGTGGAGGAGACGACTCCTTCACCACCTTCTTCTGTGAAACCGGAGCTGGAAAGCATGTGCCCCGGGCAGTTTTTGTGGATTTGGAGCCCACTGTAATCGGTGAGAGTAAGAAGGGGGTGGAATTGAGGGGAGTGGAGAGTGACTCTATGCTTCTTTCTCAAGAGCTGGTGTCTAGATCTGGCTTTCCTGGCCCTGAAAATTCCTCACCCAGTTTGAATCTAAAGAAGGCAATCTAATCATAGGCTGGCCCATAGGGCAGGTCTGGGTTCCTCACACACTGGTATCTGGGACTGGCAGAAGGATGAGCTCTTCCACATATCTGTCTGCAGCTACCGTGATGAGGGAGGGAGGTCCCTGCTGAGCACAGTCTGCGGTTTGGGCCCTGACGATGTGGTTTATGCCCTTGCAGATGAGATCCGAAATGGCCCATACCGGCAGCTCTTCCACCCAGAGCAGCTCATCACTGGGAAAGAGGATGCTGCGAACAACTATGCCCGTGGACATTATACCATTGGCAAGGAGATCATTGACCCAGTACTGGACCGGATCCGCAAGCTGGTGAGAGTCTGGCGTAAAAGGGAGGGAGTTTTTGAGATGGTGCCAATGGTCAGGAACATTTCTTTTTCCAGATCTTTTTCAGGGCATCATCTCTAATTGTACATATTTCAGAGCACGCTGCTGCTATGGTATACTCATTAGTCTTTGCCCTGGCTCCTGAGATATTTAGGCTTTTGTGGAGCCAGAGATTGAGCTCCTCAGGCCCCTTTCCCATGTACATTGCTCTTTCTCTTTCTTGCCTTTCAGTCCGACCAGTGCACAGGACTTCAGGGCTTCCTGGTCTTCCACAGCTTTGGTGGGGGCACCGGCTCCGGCTTCACCTCGCTCCTGATGGAGCGGCTCTCTGTCGACTACGGCAAGAAATCCAAGCTGGAGTTCTCCATCTACCCAGCCCCCCAGGTGTCCACAGCCGTGGTCGAGCCCTACAACTCCATCCTGACCACCCACACCACCCTGGAGCACTCAGACTGTGCCTTCATGGTGGACAACGAAGCCATCTACGACATCTGCCGCCGCAACCTGGACATCGAGCGCCCCACCTACACCAACTTGAACCGCCTCATCAGCCAGATCGTCTCCTCCATCACAGCATCCCTGCGCTTTGACGGGGCCCTCAACGTGGACCTGACAGAGTTCCAGACCAACCTGGTGCCCTACCCGCGCATCCACTTCCCCCTGGCCACCTACGCACCAGTCATCTCTGCGGAGAAGGCGTACCACGAGCAGCTGTCCGTGGCAGAGATCACCAACGCCTGCTTCGAGCCGGCCAACCAGATGGTGAAGTGTGACCCCCCGGCACGGCAAGTACATGGCCTGCTGCCTGCTGTACCGTGGGGACGTGGTGCCCAAGGACGTCAACGCCGCCATCGCAGCCATCAAGACCAAGCGCAGCATTCAATTCGTGGACTGGTGTCCCACGGGCTTCAAGGTGGGCATCAACTACCAGCCGCCCACCGTGGTGCCCGGGGGTGACCTGGCCAAGGTGCAGCGTGCCGTGTGCATGCTGAGCAACACGACCGCCATTGCGGAGGCCTGGGCCCGCCTGGATCACAAGTTCGACCTGATGTACGCCAAGAGGGCGTTTGTGCACTGGTATGTGGGAGAGGGCATGGAGGAGGGTGAGTTCTCTGAGGCCCGGGAGGATATGGCCGCCCTGGAGAAGGATTACGAGGAAGTGGGCATCGACTCCTATGAGGACGAGGATGAGGGAGAAGAATAGACCAGCTGCTTGGAGCCCACTTACTATGTTTATTGCAAAATCCTTTCGAAATAAACAGTTTCCTTGCACGGTTTCTTGTTCCCTCTGTGAGTACTTGAGCTTCTGCTGCCTTCTTCTTGGTGCTGCTGCTGCTTTTGCTGCTGCCCTCACTATTTGCTGCTCATGACCCTTTTCCTGTCTATGGCTGAAAGTGAGACCTGCCAAGGAGCCCTTACCAGGCCCAGGAAATGTGACCCCATGGACCTTGATGTAAGATCCTAAGGGGCACCCAGGATAGGGAGGAAATGAGGACTGAATCCTGGACCTGTCCATCCAGCCACAAACTATTGAAGGATATGAGTCTTCACTTCCTTTCCAACTAGGAGTTTAAGTCCAGCAGTGTGTGTACTTGAGTTAGACTAGTACCCTGTTCTTCCTGCTGCTTCTGCATTCACCAACTCTGGAAGCGAGGCTTGGCCCAGGCACCTCTGTGTTATGAGGGCTTGGGAGTCGGGCTGAGCTGCCCTAGTGTTCCTTGGCATGGAGCCTAGTCATAAGCTTGGGGGATGGGAGGGAACAGGGCCACCTCCTAGAGTTGTTTATGTCACTGCACGAACAGCTTTGCATAGCTTACTGACTGTTGCTGCTTTGCTGGGGCCTAGGGCTGTGGCATTAAAAGTCAGGTCGTCTCCCCGCTGTTTGTGCTTTCTTTCTGGCCTCAGCCTCTGTGCTAGCTGGTGGGACATCTTGCCAGGGCCCTGGGGAGATTTTCAACTTTGCTAATAGGCACCCCGGGACCCACTCTGACATCGGCATTGGGGGGTGGGCAGGGTTGAGGGAAAGAAGCTTCAATCTCAGGAGCAGGAGATGCCAGCCCTGCCCTTGCCTTCTCTCCCTGTAATTTAGGGACACGGTGCCCTTCCCTGGGGAACAGGTTTTAAGCCCAGCAAAGGCAGGGCCCCTGTTTACTCAGCACAGTAAGCAGGAAGTGGCAGCTGGACACTGCCACATCACACTGGCCTCATTAATCATTAACCATGTGTGAGCTAAAACCATCTGGGAGAGACTAGGCCAAAATGGCTGCCACCCCCACTCCCTTTGCCCCCAGGCTGAGGCTGGGAGACCTGTTATGGAGCTGTCCCAAAGCTTCCTCAGGTTTCTCCACCCAGAAGCCCTTGCCTGGCAAACCAGCTGGGCTGCTCTGACTAAGCTACCCACCCCTGGGAATGAAGGAAGGAAGAATGAGTTGAATGGGTCTATCCCAGTTCTTGGCATAGAAGCCCACTCAAGCCAAAGTAGCTTTAAGTTGTTAAGTTAAACAGGCTAGAACTGCCCATGGCCAAGCAGCCAGATTTAATGTCAGAATACCTGCCTCCTGATATGGAATGATGAAGTCATGCCAGCCTGACTCTACGCCAGTCCCTCTTCTTTCCAGGCTGTTCCTTGGAAATGGCAACCAGACTTCGGGTTCCTTGCACCTCTTTTCTCACTCCAGGAACAATGAGACTAAGATCCACATGAAGCTGCTTTCACTTTATTCTTTTATTTATACATCCTCCTGCTCCCTGACTTGGAGGCAGACCATGATGTAAGTCCAGCAGTCCTGCTCAGAGCCTTTACCAGATTCTGTCAGTTTCCCTTTCCCCATACCCCACTCTCACCCACCCCACCTCAGGCTCCCTGTCCAGCTGTTCTGGAGATAAGAGAACAGAACAGAGAAGAGTGAGCTGACTCCCCAACCCCTCTGCCCCCAACCATAAGAGAGCAGGCCTGGATAGAAAGGACAGAGATTCTAGTGAGGGATGGGGGACTCATTCCAAGGCACAGGGGCCACCTCAACGTGGCCCCTGGTTTGTTCAGATCTGGGTCGTGTGCTGGCCTGGAGCTGGGGGTTGCAGTGCCTCCAACTGACTGAGGAGGACAGGAACGTGAGGGCGCTGCTGGGGGTCCACAGTCATCATCGAGGCCAGCAGCTGCCGCAGTGCGGAAGAATGCCTGTGGAGGGAGCGCAGGGTGGTGGGGGGCACCTTTCCGCCGTGCCGAGGCTCAGCCTCCAGTCATGGCAAGGAGACTCTGAAGTGCTTGGTGCCCCTTCTGTTGCTCACCTGGAGCTCTGTGGGATGCTGAGTTGGTTCTGCACAGCCAGGGCCACACTGTCACCCTTCTGGAACACCATGTCATAAGGGCCTTCTCCAAACATCATAGCATATAGCACACAGCCTAGAGACTGAGCATAACTTGGTTATTCCAGGGAAGGGGATCAGTGGAGGTTATAACTCTCCTCTTAATTCTGTAGTGAAAGGAGACTACATGAACTAAAAGGACTATGCTGACTTCAGCCATATGACACCAGCAGGGCCCAGAGAAACTGCCAGTTAGCTGGAAGCCTCTGAACCGCTTGTTTAGCCACTGTCTTCAGCCCTGACACTTAGCTGTACCAACCCTGTTCAAAGGGCAGGGTTACACCACTTCCTGAGCAATTAAGTACAGTGTCGGTGACAGTTGCCAGGAAGGAAGTCGAGGAGGATGAGGACATACGCTTCCTGGGGCCCCGTGCACTGGAAACCAAAGACCTGCTCCTCTGCTCCAAGGTTGGCACAGAGCAGCACTCCTCCCTACCCAGACTCCCACCTACGTGCTCCTCACCCAGACATCAGTCCGCTCATCGACGACACAGTGACTCTGCACAGAGAAGAGCTCCGGGGCCCGGTAGGAGATGGTGCACCGCTGGGCTGCCCAGTCCTGGAACCGTGACCCCAGAGCTCAGAAGTGGGGCACAGGTGATGGTCATGTGACCAAAATGGAGAAGGCACCAGAAGTCAGGGATGGGGAACAGGTGGGCAAAGGAACCTGGAGACCCTTACCTGCAGAGTGAGAGCCTGGCGGGAGCCCTCCACATGGATACGTGCTTGATTCATGGAACCCAAGTCCATTAAAACGGGTTGCCCTTCATCTCCAAGCAAGATATTGGTGGGCTTCAGGTCCCTGTCAGGAAGTGGAAATGACCCATGAGCATCCCTAGAGGGGGAGGCTAGAGTCCAAGGGGGGCAAAAAAAAAAAAAAATCATGGGTGCTGTTCCTTGGGAAGAGTCAAGACCTCTCATTTCTCTTCATGGAACTCTTCCTTTCTGCCCCAGAAAGCATACGGGGCCCGCCCACTGACCTGTGGGCATAACCCTGGGCATGAATGGCCTCAAGACCTCTGCAGATACCCAGCAGCAGCTGAAGGATTTGATCTTCAGTCAAGAAGTTGCCTTTGTCTTTCAGCCTTTCTATCTCGTCCCACAGCGTACCTCTCTGCAACACAAGTATGCCCGCGGTTGTTTTTCAAGCCTCTGCTCCCTGAGTCTGGTCCCTTCCCTATGTCAAAGCCTAGCAGCCTTTTCACCACACACACCACACCCTAGAGTCCCATTTGGATTCCTCTAAACTCCAAATCTGAAGCGGTCAAACCCAGGACATAGCCGCTGCTTCCTAACAGACTTGACTGCTCACATAGCTCTTGGTTGGTGGCTCTGTTGCAACCCCTCCACAGCCAGGAGACTTTCTGACCTTGAAGAAGGGTAGCAGCAGCCAGGCCTCATGTTTAGTGCCCCGCTCCCTCAGACAATAAGCCACGAGGTGAAGGATGTTGGGGTGATGGAAGAGGTGATGCATGTCTGCTTCTCGTTGGGCCTCCTCCCGGTCCTGCTGCTCGTGACACACGATTCGCTTCAGGGCGTAGAAGTGTCCATCATGTAACCCCTCCACTAGGTCCACATAGCTGAACCCACTGTGGGCCAAAGGGGTCAGTGAAGGACCACGGTCATCTCCCACATTGCTTGGACTCAGAGGAATTCCCTGGGAAGAACAGGGGCGGTCTTTCCCATTTAATAGAAACCCTCCCAAGATGTGACTCTAAGAGAAGTTTGAAGATTATTACACTTTCAGCTCCAGAGCTGGGACGCAGTAATCTTCAAGGTCCTGTAATCATAACCCAGTGCTCTGCACATAACAGATGCCCAATAAACATTAATGAATGGTTAACATTTATTAAGTGCTGTGAACCAGGCACTGGTGAGACATTTTATATGCATTATCTCATTTAATCCTCACAGCTCCATCAGTGACGCAAGATAGTAATTATCTCCACTAAGGAAATGAAGAAACCATGGCTTATTTAGGTCACCAAAGGTGGATTAGCAGGCCTGGTTCCAGAATCTATTTTCTTGACAAGCATGTCACTAGGCTGTGTCAGGTGAGTTAAAGGATAGTTTACAGAATAAAACTTTTGTGCCACTATCATGTGCAGATTGCTGTCCTTCAATCACCATAATCCTGAGGACTAGTGATTTCCAAACACTCACCCCTCCCCCAATTTCTGGATGAAGAGGTAGCGCTTATTGTCGATGATGACAGTTCCCGGAGAGCAAATACACAGCGCGTGGCCCATAATGTCTCAGTCATCCTCCTCAAGGACGGTCTGAGGCTGTCAACGGGTTCGTCCTGGTTGAATGGGCTCTCCCAGGCGTTGCGCTGGGGCCCCAGCGGATCATGCTGAAAGGAAAAGAACGGCAGGATCGCGGGTCGGGCACAATCCAGACGACCCCTCAAGGACTAACGTGGAGAGCTCAAGCCTAGGTCTCGGAATCTAGAGAAAACGGGCCCTGGCGATACCATCTCCAAGAAGGCTGGGATCAGGTCCCTTAAGTCTCAGGCCACGCAGCAACTACCAGACTGCTTTCTCCCCCACCAGCCCACCTTTCGGCGGCCCCGGCTCTCACGCCCATCGTGCTGCGAAGGCAAGGGTGTAGGGTAGCTCCCGGGGGGTGCGAGGCTCGGACCTATACCTTGCAGAGCCCACCCCCGACCTCTGCGTGAACACCCCAGATAAGCCAGCCCAGTTTCCCCACTGACCTGGCTTGGGCAGGAGGGAAGCGCCAGGAACCGGAAGCAGTGATGTGTCATCACTCCGCGCCGGCGTAACAGCCCGTGGTATCCTAGCAACCTCCGGGCATCCGGGCGATGTGTTGGGGGCGCGGTGCTGATGAGCCTGGACGGGTTAGGCCTGCGGGAGGACGGGTTGGGGGACCCGAGTGAGGGTTCCACACCGAG